CTTCGCGTGCTCCCGTCCGTGCTGCGGGGCTCCGGGAAAGCGCCGTGCCCGCCCGGACCTCCCGCTGCCCGCCCGAGCGGTGGAGGTGGCTGCAGAACGTCAGGGCTTGTAGTTGAGGGTAATTTATACAATGCATTTCCTTTAGCGTGCCTAGCTGTATTCTCTGTGCTATTTTTAAAAAATGTGTGTGATGTATAACAGCTGTCTATCTTGGGTACTAATGTTCTGCTATACTGAACCACCAATAACCTCTTAGCTTCAAACTAGAAAGTAGAAATTATTCAAAACTCAGGTAGTGCCTTGTTTAGCATTTACACAGGCCTTTGTCTGTCCTCCCCATTTCCAGAGTCACCCATGAGTCTGAATTAGTTGAAGTGCCCTTCGTCAGAGCTTCCTGGCAGCAGTCTTACTTTGCCCCAAAGAGATGCAGCTTGACCATGTGTCCAAAGCGTTGCTGTGACAGCGTCAGGGGGGGAAGAAGTCTCCATCTGAAGCCAGTTTGTGTTCTGTAGATCAAAAACAATGCTTTAGGCAAGGGAAGCACACGGTTAATGCCTACCCTAGGGCATTGGAATTTCAGGTTCAGCCTCCTGACACCCCGGCAACTAACTGCTCTTGACAACTCTTTTTCATATTTGTCCTGAGTTATGTGAGGGACAGTCAAGGTTAGTGACCTTAGCCTATTGTTCTCCTGTCTTTTTCTGCGATGTGCAGCTTTTCAAACAAGTTCTGTACTTCTTTTGGCACTAAGGTAATAAAGATTGCATCACTTCTCTTTCCTGACAGCAGATGATTCCAGTGTTAGTCTTGCTACTTTAATGATCATATTTCTGATTGTGACAGAGCTGGTGCAAGGAGATGCAGTAGGAGTTGCGCCTGAGTATCGCTAGCAGTAGCTGTCACTGGAGGTAGCTGTTCCTATGGAAAAGAATAAGTTTGTGATAAATATTAGGAAGAAAAATAAACTTCAGATAGTCTGCTGAGTTCTATCCTATTTAGAGTACAGCAATAACAATCACCAAGTGTCCGTGGCAGCAGCTTAGTAAAAGAAAGCAGACGTGTCTCTGGGCCATCGTCAAAACATTCTGGTAGATACTGGTTAATAGGTAAGGTGTTTTTAAAGTCTCGCTAAGTCTGCATGTAGTTAAACATTGGACTGATAGAACATTCACTCGTGGGCAAGAAAATCGGGTTAATGAGTGTCTGTATAAGTGAAAGAAATACATACTGCTATGTCTCTGTGAACAAAAACTTTAATTATGCTTAATTATTTTTAAATAGTTAATAGTTAAAATAGTTAAAAGGGGATCCGGCAGTTCGCTCGTGCTCAGTGCTGTTGGCGCCTGGTACAGCTGTCAGTGCACGTGGTGGCTGGTTGCCACAGGAGCAAAACCTAAGGTAGCCAAGAATTTTTTTATCCCTGTAGTAGTTGTATTACACTTGATGTGATGCTGTTTCTAAAGAGGGATTCTGCATTTAAAGCTGTGCTGCAGTCAGGCTGGTGGCTTTAGGAGGCTGGAGCTGTAAAGATCTGACACCTCATGTTCTTCTTCTCTTTAGCGAATGCTTCAGACCATTGCAGGGCACGGATGGAGGTCACATTCTAGTAAACCTGCTCAAAACTTACATACAGGCAAACCTGGAGCTGGCTTTAGCTTTGGTAAGAATTGCAATTTTTGAATGAAATACAGCAATTAAGGGGAAACTGAAGAGTTTTTAAAGAAATCCTATATTGCAGTTCAACTGAATTTAAAAGGAAGGTGTTTATTCTAAATAGATTTTTATTATTTTAAAAACAATTATTTGAAAATCAAAACTACTTTCCTCCTCAGCTCAGGTAAGTCAGGTATGTGTGTAGCATTTTTAAGATTTTCTTCTTTTTTTAGCTCATGTATGTCTTAAGCGTTTTTTATCGCCAAAGTGTCTTAACTCTGAACTTGTTTACAATGATAAAGTAACTTGTTTACAATGATAAAGTAACTAAATGTAGTCATAAGAAACGTTATAAAGAAATTCATCCTCATCTTGGCATGTTATATACACAAAGCAAATGCAGTGGGTCAGCAGCGAGGTGTTTGAAACGGCACAGCCAGGATCTCCAGAGGACATCTGCCTCCTTGTCTTCCTCCATGTAAACAGCACAGCGTTCTTCTTGTTTCTCCTGGTAATGCATTTCCTGTTACACAGTCCTCGCTACTCCGTTTTCAATATTTTGTGGATAATTTTGTCAGAAGTAGGTGCGTGCGTTGCAGGTGTTGACGAGAGGACGCTGGAGGGTTTCTCCCAGGAGGAAGAGGAAGATGAGCTCCTTTGCTTCCCGGACAGCCCCAGGAAGGGGTGGTTTGGGTTGTCCTGGAAGGACAGTCGTGTTTTCTCTTTTCTCATAGTCTGACAACTGGCAAAATTAAAGATAGAAGAGAGTTTATGACTACTTTTTTTTTTTCCTTTAAAATAGAGCTTACTGATGAACAGAAAGAGTTTCAAGCTACTGCTCGTAAATTCACTGTGGAGGAAATTATTCCTGTTGCTGCGCAGTATGACAGAACTGGAGAGGTAAATCTACCGTAGTGTAAGGGGAAAAACAGGCTTTTATCTTAACCTGCATAAAATGTGAAATGTTGATTGCGGTGAATCAGAAGGTGACTTTTCCCCGTCGATTTCAGTATCCTCTTCCACTTATCAAACGGGCTTGGCAGCTGGGTCTTATGAATTCACACATACCAGAAAGCTGTGGTAAGTAAACATTCTTTTTAATCTGTAAAATGAAACAAAGAAAAGCCGTTAGATGAGATTTGTATGTGCAATTATGGATTCTGTATAAAACAAGCAGTTGCATACTTGAATAATCTAATCAGTGGGCAGGGTGACACATACGAGTGTGACTAGGTGTGGATGTAATCAGGAGGCAAATCAGGCAGGTTGTGATTTAGTAATTTATGACCAGATTTTCCCACTGTGATTACAACTGCCTGATGTTCCCCTGGTGCCCTGTGTCAGCTGATTAGGCAGAGAAATTAGAAGGTTGTATTTTGTTCTAGTCTCTGGCACAGGCTGGAGCGATGGAAGAGTTTATTCCAGGAGGATGGTTTTTCAGTTCGGATGAGGTGCAGTACAGCAGTGCTTTGGCAGTGTTCAGGTGTGTGAGTAACCATGGAAAAAATGTTAGATTATTTGCTTTTTTGCATTTATATTACCTGAAGAATACATTAGGGAAGTGTCCATCACAGGCCCTTTTTTTTTTTTTTGGAAGACTAATCAGAGGGTATATCTTGTATGAAAAATTTAATAAACAAAGTTAAGGGACAAAGAGACCAAAGGAGCAATTGCGATGACTAGATTTACTCAGCCACAAATTCTAGAGAAACTGAAGGCTGAAATAGCTGGGCTACTGCAGTGTATAATCACTTGATTATTAAATAAAAAAAAATACTAGTGGCAAGTTGGACACCATTGCTTTAAAAGGTCTCCAAGCTCCAAGAGAGATCTGGGAAAGTGCATCCTAGTCAGCCTGATACACCGTCTAAATTCAGAGCAAGTAAGATGAAGTACAGAAACAGTGGAACAGATAAACATGATACACTGGAGAAGGGTTTTTGTGAAAGGAAGTCAGGTTTCGTAGTGGAAAAATTAGCAGCACAGCCTTGCTGGGTCTTGTGCTGTTTGGAATATCTATAAATAACCAGGAAAGGGTGTCAATCCTGAGGCAGGGGAGTTTACTGATACGACTAAGTTATTCGTGTAGAAAAGACACAGGTGCAAAGAGCTGCAGGAGAAGGTCACGAAATGGAATGACTGTTAAAATGGACAATGCAAGTGTAAAAAGGAAAAGTGATGCACGTGTGAAGGGAAAGAAGCAATCCGAGCTTCACAGAGAAGTCGTATCTTCTGAACTAGTTGTGGGCTCTCAAAAAAGAGATTTTTGGTTTTATAATACATAGTTCTGTGAACACCAGCATAATGATCAGAAATGGTCAAAACCATAGAATTTAAGATTGGAAGAGACCTTTAAGGGTATGAAGAAAAAAGCAGCAGGCATAAATACACTGTTGCCTGGATCCAGATTGCACTTGCCTCTTCAATTCGTTACGTAGTCAGATCCTTCCATCTCAAAAGAGTGTTGTGGCAATGGAAGAGGTTCCTAAAAGGATGACAAAGATTCCAAAAGATCTATCATCAGTGCGAGATGCAGCTTCTGTGTGAGAAATTACTGTAATGTCAGTGTCACAGAGAGTGTGAGGAGGGATGGATAGTTCTCTGTCCCTTTCAGTGTAGCTAGAAGGCACCGAATGAAACCAGCAGATGGTAGGTTCAGAATAAACGAAAGGAGATGGCTCCGTATGCCGTGTGTGGTTAATTTCTGAAACTCGTTGCCCCTGGATGATGTTCATGCTAAAATTTTACATAGATTGGAAAGAGACTGGGCAAATTCACATAAGAAATACCTGTCAAGGGTTAGCATGACAAAGATGCCAAAGAGACGTACTTCTGGCTGAGGAAGTCACCTGAAGGCTCAGGAAAATATGTTTGAGGAAGTATAGTTGTATCATTATTGTATTTATATGTACTTCCCAAAGCGCTGGCTTCTGTCAGAAGCAGATTGCTGAGTTGTCTGACTAATACAGGCACTTTGGTTTTTCCCAAGTGCTGGGGTAGCTCAGGGGCCCTTTCTCTGCTTCCTGAGGACTCTTAATTCCCAAACGTAAAGAGGTCAAAAACTATGCGTGGTACATGCTTGCCACTTTGTGCAACTTCGTCCCAGGTTAATCAGACACTACCCCTGGAACTGGGAGGTCTCATTTTCAGATCATCTGTTGCTCTTCCATAGAAAGCTGGCGTGAGAGTGTCTGCTCAAACACGGTACACAATCAGCTGTACGTGAGGGAATACGTTTTTGTTAATTCATTTGTGTAAATCACTAATATGTTACAATTTAGACCTGTTTTAGTAAATTAAATCTTTCAACTGTAGGCGGTCTTGGCCTTGGCAGCTTTGAAGCGTGCCTTATCACGGAAGAGTTGGGTTACGGATGTACTGGGGTTCAAACTGCCATCGAAGCAAATTCCCTGGGGGTAAGTTCTGTCTTTTCTGACATCCCTTAAACTAGAATCTGTGCACTTTAAAAAGATGGATTAATGGTGTGAATATTTGCTTTCAGCAAATGCCAGTAATCATTGCAGGAAATGAGCATCAGCAGAAAAAATACTTAGGAAGAATGACAGAAGAACCACTGATGTGTGTAAGTGTGACTCCTACACTGTAGAATGTTCTTAAACCATATTCATAATATTACTCCTTTTTTATGTTTTTTCTTTATCTCTTTTTTCCCCCTTTTTTTTTTCCCAGAAAACACCAACACATACTCACAACTTAGCCCACGTTGGTTTGTAAATAAACAGTGGCATTTACTGAGTCAGGGAATAGCTAATGAGATACATTCAATAGGCAAATAGAAGATACTACTTGGAAAATTATCCCCATCCTAAGTCACTTACCAAAAATTAATACCTTTTATTTCCCTTTCAACAGGGGGTGTAGGCGCTGGATGGGAATTAAACTCTGTTTGTAATCTTAAATATTATATAAGCAGTCCTTGTTACATAGAAAGAAGTAAAGATTCACATGCAATGCATTAATATCTGAACAACTGAGCCTCATAAAATAAAGGACACAGTAAACATAAAATGTTACTCAGTGCTCTTATTTTCACATTTTAAAGACCTTCAGCTTTCACATCAGTTTGTGAAGCCTGAGGAAGTAATGACTTAAGGGTTACAGAACAGGGTTACAGAACAGTTCTGTTTGATTAAAAGACAATGTATTATTATGGATTTATAAAGAAAATTAACCCATATGTATTTGGATTCTTGCTCAGACAGCTATTGTGGGTTTTTTCAAGTTGGATTGGTTTTGTTGTTTGTTTGGGGTTTTTTGTTTGTTTTTTACTTTAATGTTTTGGGTTTTACCATGCAGTTCACTTAACCCTTTTACAGATCAGTTTGATGCACATAGTCTGCAGTAACTTGTGGTTGCCTAAAAATAGAACTTTTATTCCTCAAGATTTTGCATTTTATTTCCCTTTAGGCTTACTGTGTGACAGAGCCTGGAGCAGGCTCTGATGTGGCTGGAATAAAAACAAAGGCTGAAAAGAAGGGGGATGAATATGTTATTAACGGTCAGAAGATGTGGATCACAAACGGTGGGAAAGCAAACTGGTGTGTTCACTGTTAACTTGTATTTTCTGCGGTTGTGTTCTATCGTGGCTCCCCCCTCCGCCCAAGGTTGAATTCTTTAAAGATCTGATATAAATCTGAATGCTCATTGTGTTTCAACACGCTGGACTTTGATCTCCACCAGTTCATAAGGATATAAGAAGGTGATCTCAGTGCTGTGCCTAACAAGGAAAATGAGTGATGACATGGCAACCCCTCACTCAAGAAAGGCTCTTGAATCTTGCTGCTGTCAAATGACACCAACCCGCGTGTTCGTCAGGGCAGGGCAGCAGCAGCGTGCTTTTACCTTGCACAGTACTCCAGCGGCTCACATCGCCAGCTGCCTTGGTGTGTAGCTCTGGTGACTGAGGTCAGCTGCTCCTGATTCTCCTGGAAACACCTCTTGCTTCCAGGGAAGCCAGAAGCACTGCTGGATTGTGGTGTTACATTCTGTTTTCTGAAGGGAAGACGTCTTGCAGCTGTCAAAGATCCAGATGTTGCTGTGGTGTCTGTGGACCGTGCTTTACAATATAAAACTCTTTCATCACGTCTTGCATCACACTGATTCACAACACACAAATTAATTCAACTCAAAAAACTTGACACGTTTATCCAAATGCTGAATTTTCTAGTTATTTATTTCCTTGTTCAAGGCAGATCCATCAATCTCCCAGATATCTTTTGACATTATTGAACACCATACTTGTGATTTACAACCATTTAATTTCTAAGAGAAATACTTATTTACAAGTTATACTTAGAATAACAAAATTAAGACCTTTGAAATCAGGTGGTAATACAACATTTTCCATGCAAGAATGTATTTCCTAGGCATTAATTTTTATTTACGTGCTGTGAATAGGTTTCTTTTTGTACTGTTCCCAAAGCTGATAATATCATAAAGACTTACAATACATGGAAAAAAAAAATATTTGCAGGTTGATCTGAAGTAGTTTTATTAAATTATGTGAGATCTTCAATCTTTGAAACTTCCTCTCTCTCACTCCCTCTCAGTTTATTTTTGGGAGGGGCAAGAAAAAAGGGTTGTTAAATGACAGAGTTCATTACATGGTAGAAATGCACATAAAAACACATAAAATGCTAGCTAGTAAAGTATCTGGTGGTTCATTGTGAGGATAAACTCCATCCCTCCTTTTTGTTTCACACTAGGTATTTTTTGCTGGCTCGTACCAACCCAGATCCAGGAACTCCTGCAAGCAAAGCCTTCACTGGATTCATTGTGGAAGCAGATAGCCCTGGAATCCAAATTGGAAGAAAGGTGAAGACCTTATCTCTCATGTGACAAGCCAGGAACTATTG